AAACAATGAGACACGATTACATGGAGGGTCGTAGCAGCTTGTGAATGGATGTGCCTCAGGTCTCGATCGATCATCCATCGAATCCTCGATGTTTATTTATCATTTCTTTCACCGTGACCGACATCTGAAAAATAAATAATTGCACGATTCCATCGAAAGACCGACGGACGAGTCGATGAGAATTGGGAATCGCGTCGGGCACGTCAATACACCTAATCTTACCACGATCCCCGATTACATTTTCCGATTATCAAGTCCCTGTCGCTATATAAGTAATATGAATAAACATTATTATTGTATTACTATACAATAATTACTATACATCAAGTACCACGAGATTCGTGGATCGAGGATCGTGGCAGCTTAATCGAATGACGATCGTCGAACGTGAGTAATGGGCTCTCGCCATAATCTGGCGGACAGATTTCCCTAACTAATTGCAAGATCGCGCTCGATTGTTCGTATATGCGTGCTGTCGATCGAACCGTCGATCGAAACACGATAGACGAGCTTGGAACGGTTTTTGGTCTTAGCCTGGAACGAACGAAACCCACCGTCTTTTCTCTTCTTTTGTTTTCTTTTTCTTTTTTGTTTGTTTTCTTTTTCCAATTCCAGCTACCGTTCCTCGGTCGTCTAAGCAAGAATAATCATAGACTCGGCAATGAAATATCGTGGTAATTGTAATAATAACGCTTGTTATCGATCGAAGACCGTTGTTTCCGTGGCAGAGCGCTAAGGCGTGGAGCTGGAGCCGGTGGTGGCCGATGGCATGGCCGTTGGCGCCGCGCCGGAAGCGGGCATCGTCGGCGGCGCGTACGGACTTCCGCAGAGCTGGTCCGCGATCCTCCCACCTTCGCGAAGTCCGCTGAGGAAAGCACCGTGCACGGTCGCCGGGTAATTTCGTATGGTATGCTCCCCTGAAAGCAGAGACCGGTTCGCCACCGCGTTAGAGAATCAATCGGGAACTGGATGCCGTGGGTATAGCTAACTAGGGTGAGTGTCTTTATTTTTCTTCTTCTCGCTCCTTTATCTCTCTCTCTCTCTCTCTCTCTCTCTCTCTCTGGGCTTTGAAGATGACGACCTTGGTCGATTTAGGGGACTGTGGAATAGCTGGAGGATACAGGGAGGAGAAATTGCAATCTTTCGGCAATGGACTCGCGAAATTGAGAAATATTGTAGGATATTTTCTGGAGATTTTAGTAGAAATCATACTAGAAAGGAAGAAATTTCACTGCTCGTTGCGTGAAATAATTAAGATCGTGGCTGGTTTTAAGACTGTTGGCAAATATTTACAAACAAAATATAACATAATCGTTTTACTAGAAAATACTCGTGAACTGTTCTAACGATAGGTTACATGTAACTTGTAAAAGTAGAATTCATAGTTTAAAAGTTGTATAAAATCAACGTATAGAAAGACACAAATTCCAAAAAGTACTGTGCTTATCTCGGTGCACAAAAGTGCCATCTTGCCGGAAACAACTTTCCTAAACCTATCACGAAGCCATTAAACCCCCTGTGAAAAGACTATTCAAGGTAAAAAGCCATGCAAAGAAAAGCACAACCTAGAGCCGCTTGAAAAAGATACGATTCACATTCACGGGAATTGCCCGGTCTTTATCAACCGGCAGACGCCAAAGTCCACTTCGTTCCCTTGCCAAAAAGAAAGAAAGAAAAAAAAAAAAAAAAAAA